GGGGGAAAAACCCTTTCCTTTTCAGTAAGGTTTTTACATATACGAAGGGCTTTCATATACAGTAGGACCTTAAAATATACAGGGAGGGGCCTTCATTTACAGGAAGGTTTTAATTTTACAGTAAAAGGGCTTACTTTACGTTTTAAAGGGCCCCCAAATTTTTTTCAGTAAGTTCTTACTATACAGTAAGGGCTTACATATACGTGGACCTTACATATACAGTAAGGTTTTTACATTTACAGTAAAGGGCTTTCATATTCAGTAAGGTCTTACATATAAAGTAGGCCTTTCATATTCAGTTTTGGTCCTTTTCATATACAGTTTAAGGGCTTACATATACGGAAAGGGCTTCCTTTTTCCCGTTTTGTTCTTTAAAATACGTTAAAGGGCTTACATTTTACAGTAGGCCTTACATTTCAGTTTAAAGGGCTTACAAATACAGTTAAAGGGCTTACATTAAGTAAGGCTTACATATCAGTAAAAGGGCTTACTATACAGTAAGGTCTTACATTTTAGGTAAGGTTTTTACAAATACGTTTGGGGCCTTTCATATTGGTAAGGTCTTACATATAAGTAAGGGCTTAATTTACAGTAGGACCCTTATTATTTTTGTTGGCCTTAAATATTTCAGTAAGGTTCTTAAAAATACGGGAAGGTCTTACATATTCAGTAAGGTCTTAATATCAGTAAGGTCTTAAAAAAATATACAGTAGGGGCCTTTCAATATACAGTAAGGTCTTAATATACAGTAAGGTCCTTTCATTTACAGTAAGTTCTTACCCTATACGTAAGGTTTTTTTTAAAGATTCGTAAGGTTTAATATACAGTAAGGTCTTACATATACCCCGTTGGTTTTACATTTTACGTAAGATTTTTCATATACCGTTTAAAGGGCTTAATATACAAATACGGTCTTACTTTTTAAAAAGTTTTTCATATTCATAAGGTCTTACCCTTTAAGTAAGGGCCATTTATACGTAAGGGTTCCTTTTTTTTTAAAGTAGGGCCTTACTTTTACAGTAAGTTCTTACATTTCAGTTTGGTCTTACATATACGTAAGGTTTACTTTATCTTTTTTTTTTGGGCCTTACATATACGTTAGGGATTACATATACGTAAAGGGCTACTTTTACGTAAGGTTTAAAATTTTTCAGTAAGGTCTTAATTTTCCGTAAGGGCTTAAAAATATTCAGTAGGCCCCTTTCATTTACGTAAGGTTTACATATACGTAGGACCCCTTAAAAATACGTAAGGTTCCCTTTAAAATACCCGTTTAAAGGGCTTTTCTATTCAGTTTAAGGGGGCTTACATATAAGTTTAAAGGGCTTAAAATTTCAGTAGGGGCCTTTTCCCTATTTCGTTTAAGGGCTTACATATCAGTTAAAGGGCCCTTTCATATACAGTTAAAGGGCCCTTTTTTATTCGGGGGACCTTTTCTATACAGGGGAAGGTATTACTTTTCAGTAAGGTTTTTTTCATATACAGTAAAGGGCCCTTTCCATTTCAGTAGGACCTTTCATTTTACAGTAAGGTCTTAAAAATACAGTAGGACCTTTTCATTACAGTAAGGTCTTTAATTTTTCAGTTTGGTCTTAAAATTTATAAATAAGGTCTTTCAATACGTAAGGTCTTAAAATATACAGTAGGACCCTTTCATTTTCAGTAAGGTTTTCTTTACAGTAAGGCTTACATATTCAGTAAGGGCTTACCCTATTCCGTAAGGTCTTTAAAAATTTTCAGTAGGCCTTACATATACAGTAAGGTCTTTCATATTTCGTAAAGGGCTTACATATAAGTGGACCTTACTTTTTCGTAGGTCTTACATATAAAAGTAAAATCTTTTCATATACAGTAAAGGGCTTAAAATACAGTAAGTTCTTTTCTTTTCCCCGTAAGGGTTTTCATTACAGTAAGGGTTTTTATTTACAGTAGGTCTTACATATACGTAAGTTTTATATTATTGTTGGTCTTACATAAAACGTAAGGTCTTTTATACGTAAGTTTTTTTTACATTACAGTAAGGTCTTACAATACAGTAGGCCTTTCATATTTCAGTAAAAGGGCTTAAATATACAGTTTAAAGGGCTTAAAATTTTTCAGTAAGGTCCCTTTCATTCGTAAGGTTTACATATCTAAGGGTTTTTTACATTTAAAGTAAGGTCTTTCTTTTACAGGAAGGTTTTTCATATTTCCCGTAAGTTCCTTTTCATAAACAGTAAGGTTTACATTACAGTAAGGTCTTACAAATACAGTAAGGTTTTCATATAAGTTGGTTTTTAAAATTTTACGTAAGGGCTTACATTTCGTAGGACCTTACATATTCAGTAAAGGGCTTACATATACAGTAAGGTCTTTCAATTTCAAATAGGGGCCTTACTATACCGTAAGGTCTTACTATTTCAGTTTTGGTTTACCTTTACGTAAGGTTTACCTATTTCAGTTTTGGTTTTACATATACAGTAGGTCTTACTTTTACGTAAGGTCTTTTAAAAATTCAGTATTGGTCTTTTTAAAATTACAGTAAGGTCTTTCCCTATACGTAAGGGTTTTCAAAATTTTCGTTTTGGACCTCACATTTTAAAAATTTGGGTCTTTTCATATACAGTTAAGGGGCTCCAATTCGGGAAGGTCTTACATATCGTAAGTCTTACAATACGTAAGGTCTTACCCTATTTTTGTTAAAGGGCTTCATAGACAGTAAGGTTTTTACATATACAGTAGGTTTTTACTTTACAGTAAGGTTTAAATATAAATAAAGGTTTTTTCAAATACAGTTTAAAGGGCTTTTCATATACCGTAAGGGCTTCATTTTTTGTGGAACCTTTTCAATACAGTAAGGTCTTACATATACAAAAGGCCCTTTTTATACAGTAAAGGGCTTACATATTCAGTAAGGGCTTACATATACGTAAGGTCTTAATATAAGTAAGGTTTTAATTTTACAGTTTGGGTTTTCATTACTGTTTGGACCTTACATATACAGGTAATCTTCATTTACGTAAGGTCTTCTTTTCAGTAAGGTCTTTTCATATACCCGTAGGCCTTTAAAATTACAGTAAGGTCTTCATATACGTAAGGTCCTTTCTTTTACAGTAAGGTCTTACTAAACAGTTAGGACCTTACATATTCGTAAGGGCTTAAATTAAATAGGACCTTACTTTTACAGTTTTGGGTTTTCATATTTCAGTAAGGTCTTACATATACGTAAGGTATTTCAAAATACAGTTAAAAGGGCTTTCTTTTCAAGGACCCTTTTCCCTATACAGTTAAAGGGCTTAATTTTTCAGTAAGGTCTTACAAAACGTAAGGGGCCTTTCTTTTTCAGTAAGGGGCTTACCCTATACGTTGACCTTACTTTTTCAGTAAGGGTTTTTAAAATTTTCAGTTAGGACCTTACATTTTTAGTTTGGGGTTTTTCAAAATTTTCAGTAAGGTCTTAAATATACAGTAGGACCTTACAATTTTCGTAAGGGTTACATTTACAGTAAGGTCTTAAAATTTTTTGTAAAGGGCTTACATATACAGTAAATTTTACTTTTACAGTAAGGTTTACTTTTTACAAAAAGGTTTACCATACAGTAAGGTCTTAAATTTTTAAATATGGGGCCCTTTTAAAAAATTTTTTTAAGGGGCTTACCCCCTTTCCAGTAAAAATTTTTCATATACGTAAGTTCCCTTTCATATAAAAGTAAGGTCTTACTTTTTTCGGGGGCCCTTTAAAATACAGTAAGGTTTTCATTTACAGTAAGGTTTTTCCCTATACGTTAAAGGGTTTTAAAATACAGTAAATTCTTACTTTTACTGTAAGGTCTTACATATAAAGTAAGGTCTTTTCATTACGTAAGTTCTTTTAAAATCAGTTGGTCTTAAAATATACGTAAAGGGCTTACTTATACAGTAAGGGTTTTTCCCTATCCCGTAAGGTCTTACTTATACAGTAAGGTCTTACATATACAGTTGGGACCTTACATTTACAGTTAAAGGGCTTTCATTTACAGTAAAGGGCTTTCATTACAGTTGGACCCTTTTTATTTACAGTAAAGGGCTTACATATACGTAAAGGGCTTATTATACGTAAGGTCTTAAATTACAGTTTTAAAGGGCTTACTTTTGGGAAGGTCTTACTTTTACAGTAAGGTCTTCTTTTACGTTAAAGGGCTTAAATATTTCATTTAAGGGGCCCAATTTTACTGGTTTTTTCTTTTTAAAAAACCGTTGGAACTTACAAAATACCCGTAGGGGGCTTACATATACAGTAAGGTTCCATATACGTAAGGTCTTACATTAAGTTAAAGGGCTTAAAAATTTACGTAAGGTCTTTCATTACAGTTTAAAGGGCTTTTTATACAGTAAGGGGCTTACCTTTTACCCGTAAGGTCTTACTTTCAGTAAGGTTTTTACATATACAGTAAGGTTCTTCATTAGACGTAGGACCCCAATTTTTCAGTTGGTCTTACTATACAGTAGGGGCCTAATATACGAAGGTCTTTAAAAAAAACCCGGGAAGGTCCCTTTTTTATACAAAAGGTCTTCATATAATGTTTTGGTCTTACATATTTGTAAGGTCTTACATATAAGTAAGGTCTTAATATACAGTAAGGTCTTACATTTTACAGTAGGACCTCAAAAATTCAGTTAAAGGGCTTACATAAACGTTTAAAGGGTTTAAAATACGTTGGACCTTTACATATACAGTTTGGTTTCATATACGTGGTCCTCGGGGATGTGAACCTGATTCGTAGCGGGAAAGGGTGTTGAGTGCTAATCTGTTGGGGTACTGAAGGGAAATTGTTCCCCTAAGGAATAAAGTAAAAAATTTTGATTATTAGATTACAAAAATATATTTACTTAACCCTTAAGTTTTTATCCCGGGTTTAATGTTTCTGTATTTTTGTACTACAACAGTTTAAAAAACACTTTTTTGTACTCTGGAATCTGTACTCCAACCCCCAAAAAGCCTTCAGCTTTGTACACAAACAAGATACAGTGTTTGTACTCACCCCGGGATTTCCTGTACTCAGCCACCACGTCGTCGTACTTGTATTTCTTCTTGAAATTAAAATAGAAACTTTTGCATTGACCCTCCGTCTTATTGGGTAGTCGTTCCGCTACCTTGGACCAGTGACACCCAACCTGAGGACAAACGTGGCTGTTAGTACTCTAGACTAGGGGTGCTAGTCGTGATAGTTAGGTATAGTGACCTAAACTAGGGCTGGTACTTGTGGCAGTGACATATAGTGACCTAGACATTGTCTAGGGTCAAGAGAGTCACAGCAGTAGTAGTACGACCCTCAACAAGGGTCACAAGGGTCATGATAGTAATAGTACAACCCTTGTCTAGGGTCACAAGGGTGACAATAGTAATAGTACAACCCTTGTCTAAGGTCAAGATAGTCAGGATTGTAATACTATAACCATCACTGACCTCTCTGAGGGCCGCTCTAAGGCCGTCGATGTCATCTTCGGACCAGCGGGTCGGGTCGACTGGCTCCTCGGCCAGGTCTTGGCCAAGCTTGCGACTGATGCGGTTGTGGCAAGCCGAGCAGCACTTGTTGACCTCGGCCGGGATCTCTGCCGGAGTACAGTGAGAGTGTACTGTGAGTACAGTGAGAGTACAGTGAGAATACTGAGTGAATGTTGAGATTACAGTGAAAGTGTGAGAATACAGAGAGAATACTGAGCATGCTGTGAGAGTGCACTGACAGTACAGTGAGAGTACAATGGCAGTACAGAGTAGTGACAGTACAGAGTACAGTGACAGTACAATGACAGTACAGAGTACAGTGACAGTACAATGACAGTACAGAGTACAGTGACAGTACAATGACAGTACAGAGTACAGTGACAGTACAATGACAGTACAGAGTACAGTGACAGTACAATGACAGTACAGAGTACAGTGACAGTACAATTACAGTACAGAGTACAGTGACAGTACAATGACAGTACAGAGTACAGTGACAGTACAATGACAGTACAGAGTACAGTGACAGTACAATTACAGTACAGAGTACAGAGACAGTAGAATACAGTGACAGTACAGAGTACAGTGACTACAGTGACAGTACAATGACAGTACAGAGTATAGTGACAGTACAGAGTACAGTGACAGTACAAAGTACAGTGACAGTACAATGACAATAGAGTACAGTGACAGCACAATGATAGTACAGAGTACAGTGACAGCACAATGACAGTACAGAGTACAGTGACAGCACAATGACAGTACAGAGTACAGTGACAGTACATAGTACAGTGACTACAATGACTACAGTGATAGTACAATGACAGTACACAGTAGTGACAGTACAATGACAGTATAGAGTACAGTGACAATACAGTGAGGACACAACACTTGGGACCAGGAGCTATGACTCAACCTCTGTAACTACAATTAGGTGAGCACACACAACAAGCACACACACAAACACACACACACACATATGCATGCACGCACGCACGCACACGCACACACACCTTTCCTCTTCCCACTGAGTCTCCATTTGCATCCTCTGAGGTGTTTTAGTTCCTTCCATTGAAACATTCCTGCCTTCAATCCTTGTCCTTGCTGCAGCCTCTATGCTCAGTGGCAAGGAACAGCTGAGCAGGAAAGACAGTTCGCTGAGCATAGGGGCTGCAGCAAGGGTAGGGATTGAAGGCAGGGACATTCCAATGGAAGGAACTAAAACACCTCAGAGGATGCAAAGGGAGACACAGTGGGAGGAGGAGAGGGAGAGGTCAGTGTTTGTCTATGGGCTCCAAGAAGCCGAAGGGGAAACCTACGATGAAAGAAAACAGGAGAAGGAAAAAGTGATTGAAGGCATCATGAAAACAATCGGTGAGGGTGACATGACTCAGGTGACCAATTTTTGGAGAATTGGGCGATTTGCGAGTGGAAGGAAACTGCCTGTCAAAGTAATTTTCAAGGCAGAGTCAGCTCGAACCAGGATCCTGCAGGAGAAAGCATGACTGAGGGACAAACCGGAGTACTGGAGAGTGTACCTTGATTGTGACAGAACACAAGAAGAGAGGGTGATACTGAAAGAGTGGGTACAAAGATGAAAGGAGGAATGAGAGCCAATGATGGACATGAGCAGAAGAACCCAGACCCAGGTGGAAGGGCAAACACACCCTCCAGAAAGACCCGCAGAAGGACTCAAACCACGACAACCCCAATGCAACTGAACAATGTAAACCAAAACCCACACGCTGTTCCCTCTGTCCTCACCCCCCACATCATAAACCCCACTCCGACCACAACCCTCCATAGGCCCCTGCCAGGGCTCCCGCTCCCCCCAACCCCAATATTTTCCCAGGACCACAGTGATAGAAAAGAAGTTGAAGGTTTGGTACATGAACGTGGATGAAATAACAAATAATTATGAGGAGTGGCATGAAACAATCAGTGAGAAGTCCCCAGACATCATAGCAGTCACAGAAACGAAACTCACTGAGACAACAACAGACACAATCTTCACACCAGGATATCAGATCCTAAGGAAAAATAGGAGCAGAGGGGGAGGAAGGGTTGCACTGCTCATAAAAAAACAATGGGGATTTGAGGAAATGGAAGGCATGGACGAGATTGGAGAAAGGGATTACATAGTAGGTACAATTCAGTCTGGGAAACATATGGTAGTGTTGTGACCCCTGAATGGGTCACAATGTATATAATGTATATTACCTTTTCATATAATTTTATATTGCTTATATTTGCGATAATAGCTAAATCGTAAATATATTGCTTTATATTATTATTTGACTTAGTTACTTTTATTAAGTAGGATGTAACATATATATATTATTCAGTGTTCATAGTTCAAGTCTTGATTGTCTAACTAGTGTAATTATCGCTCATTGCTAGTTTCCCTGCCAGCTTCTCGGTGTTGCTGGGCAGCAACTGTCCACAGAGCAATCATGTGATCGAGGGGGAGTGTTCACACCTCACCTGAAGTAGTCAGTCTGGGCTAGACTCTCTTGGTGGTTGGACATTCTCCTGGCAAGATGCCCCCCACTCCTCTCTCGTGGGCCCTTGTTGGAAGATCGTCTCTGTTGCTTTCTTGTTGGTTCTGTGTAACTCTGTTCACAGAACATTGTCTAGACTCAGTGATTTTCGACGTTGTACTGAGGTTGTGTGTCGCATAGACACTCTGAGCAACTCAGGTTCTGAGCTGTAACTTCTGACCTAACTTGTACTGGTATCTGTGCACTGTCACAGTCGGGAATTTTCTTATGCTGAACTTAGATTCAGTAGTATGGGAGTTTTGTGACTTTTGTGGAGGATATGCTGATGGTCCCTCCTTAGTGTCATTATATTATCTCCTTGTTCCTGATTCTGTGTCGCAGTTGCTTGTTATATTGCTATTGGGCTTATCAGTCGTTTTATTGTTCAAGCAAGCTGTTCTGATTGCCAGGTTGGTCAAGAAGTTAGTTAATGTGAGGACTTTGTCAGTCACTAGTTAAGTCTAATTGAGTTTTGAGACATAGCAAACTACTTAGAGCACTTACACACATACAATATACAAATAAGTTTGTGTGTATTATTAAATGTTAATGTACCAGACGGTACTTAAGACATATAAATGTGATATGTGCCATCAGCTCAATACTACTGTACACGAGAGAAGTGATTATTATTAATTTGTTTAAATTGATTAATTTATCTTAATTTGACAATATACTCCTAGACATCTTGATTGTTAATAAATTTATTAAATTTTAATTTCTTTAGTTAGTAACCTACCAGTTGCAATCTTGAAGCACTAATAATTATTATTGAATTCTAATGGATAATTGGACCAGGATACTGACTACTTGTTACGAAAACCCAGTAACAGGCTGAATGCTAGAAGGGCAGTCCTTTCTAGTATTCACTGGAGATCTCTAAGCTTATTAGAAATTGCATTTTTTGTAACAGTAGTCATTGCAGTGATGTATAATCCACCACAGAACTGCAGGAGGCCAAGAGAGGAATATGAAGAGAACAACAGAGCAATGGTGGACACACTTGCTGTGGTGGCAAGAAGAGCTCACTCGAGCAAAGCAAAGTTACTGGTTATGGGCGATTTCAACCACAGGGAGATTGACTGGGAAAACATGGACCACATGGGGGTCCTGAAACATGGAGAGCCAAGATGATGGATGTGGTACTGGAAAACCTCATGCATCAACATGTCAGGGACACTACCTTGGGTTCACCCTGAGCAGTTCAGACAGTGAGGATATCACATACACAAGGCCCGTTGGAGCTAGTGATCGCGTGGTTCTGAGCTATGAATACATAGTAGAGTTACAAGTGGAGAAGGTAACAGGAGTTGAATGGGAAAAGCCAGACTATAAAAGGGGCGACTACACAGGTATGAGGAACTTCCTGCAGGAGGTTCAGTGGGACAGAGAATTGGTAAAGTCAGTAAATGAAATGACAGAATGCATAACAACAAAATGCAAGGAAGAAGAGGAAAGGTTTGTTTCCAAGAGCAACAGAAATAATGGGAAGACCAGAATGAGTCCTTGGTTTACCCGAAGGTGTACGGAGGCAAAAACTAAGTGCACTAGAGATTGGAAAAAGTACAGAAGGCAAAGGACCCAGGAAAATAAGGAGATTAGCTGAAGAGCCAGAAACAAGTATGCACAGATAAGGAGGGCCCAGCGACAGTACTAAAACAACACAGCATCAAAAGTCAAGTCTGACCCGAAACTGCTGTATAGCCACATTAGGACAAAGACAACAGTCAAAGACCAGGTGATCAGGCTGAGAAAAGGTGGAGAACTCACAAGAAATGATCAAGAGGTGTGTGAGGAGCTCAACAAGAGATTTAAGGAAGTATTTCCAGTGGAGACAGGAAGGCCTATGGGGGGACAGAACAGAGGGGGACACCAACAAGGAATATACCAACAAGTGTTGGATGACATACACACAACCCAAGGAGGAGGTGAAGAAGCTGCTAAGTGACCTTGATACCTCAAAGGCGATGGGACCGGACAACATCTCCCCGTGGGTCCTTAGAGAGGGAACAGATGCACTGTGTGTGTGTCATTAACCACAATCTTCAACACATCCCTTGAAACTGGGACACTACCTGAGGTATGGAAGACTGAAAAGGGTAGTTCCATTTTTAAAAAAGGAACAGAAAAAGAGGCACTAAAAAAAGCCTGTGTCACTGTAAGTAAAAATGATAATCATGGAAAGATTATCGGGGAGGTGGAGGAGCACCGGGAAACGGAACTGATTATAAATAACAACCGCACCAGACTCATGGAAGGCAAAGCCGTGTCAAAAACCCTTCGGGGGTTTTATGGCAAAAGAACAGAAGTAAGACAAAAAGAGAGGGGTGGGTTGATTGCTTTTTTCCTAGACTGCAGGAAGGCCTTTAAACCATTTCCCCCCAAAAGAGATTAGTGAAAAGTGGATCAGGCGCATGAAAGGGAGGGCACTGCAGTGGATCGGGGAATACCTGACAGGGAGGCGAAAGAGCATGGTACGTGAAGAGGATCACGGTGGGCCCCTGTGACGGCAGGGTCCCACGGGGTCGTTCTAGGGCCAGTGCTATTTTTGATATAGGGGAACCATG